TTAGAAAATGAATAACCATAACACATGGCTTCAGGCACCATTGCATATTCACACACAAACAACTATTTGAGTCCGCAGAACATAAAGCCCATCTTCCAATCATCATTGGATTTAAAGTTCGTAACGGTGAATTCGTTATCTTCACCTTGCTAGTGGTATCAGACGATAACATTTCAATCTCTTTCCGAAATACTATGCGTTGGACATATAGAATTAAATCTAAACAAGCGAAATTTAACCCATCAAATCTAAGCATACCCACCTGTTGAGACAGATCAGTTCTACCAGAACGCATTACCAGTAAATATCGCTTAAATCGGGTTAACCACGCAGCAGCCTTAAGTAATCTAGTCCAATCTGAATAATAATTAATAAGTTGATCAACAGTGGATTTTTCAGCCATTACATGCGCCGACATTGCTTTCTTTATTTCCAATAGATGAGGGTCAGGACCTTGTACATCAGCGGCAGGCCAACACTCCTTCGGCTTCTTGAGAAAACGTGGACCCTCCTTCCATACCTTGACATCATCAATGTCAAACTTGACCCCTCTGGATGCAAAGTCTGATATATTTTCTTTAGAAGGTACGAATCTCGATTGGTCCACCTTAGTATGACTCTGAATAGTCGAAATTCGATTTGCTATGAATGTTTTAAACTGGCTTTTCTCATTTCTAATATAGTGTAAGACAATCATAGAATCCGTCCAAAAATTAACCTCTGCAAACTTAATATCTAATTCTGACTGCAGCTGGGATCCCATGCGAGCTGTCAAAACTGCTGCCGTAAGTTCCAAGCGCGGTATAGTTTGGACCTTCGAGGGGGCTGCTCTTGCCTTAGCCGTTCGTCGTATATCACCGTCTTCCCACCACAATAGACGAAATGCTCCCCTGTCTTGTCTCGGAATCTTTACTTGAAGAAACATCTCTTCGATATCAGCAGCTAATGCTACGTTACCTAATCTGAATCGTAGGAGTACACCAATTAAACTATTTACAGTATTCGGTCCTCTCAAAAGCTGGTCATTAAGAGAACAACCTTGATAGACAGCCGCACAATCAAAAACAATTCTCAATTTTCCAGGCCTTTTAGGGTTGATGACAGGATGATGAGGAATATACCAACAAACAGCATCATAGTCAAATCCCTCTTCACTAGCTTCAATGATGTAGCCCTTTCTTAAATGTTTATTCATCACAACTTGATATTTCTCCAAAGGACTGTTATCTTTCATAAACCTCTTCCTTAAGCATTCTAGTCTGCGTTCAGCCAGTTCCAAATTTTTCGGTAGTCTTGGCTTATCATACTTCCATGGTAGACCAACTTGGAAATGACCACCCTCCAACCTAAACGAACTGCTAACTATTTCTAGAGCTTTTTTATCTTCAACAGAATATCCATTACGAAACGTATCTGTATCCTCGAACTCATGATCATATAATCTTCCTAAATCTCGCAAAATATCATTGGTGGAACAATGACACAACTGAACTTGATGTAGAGACCTTGATACTCCCTTAGGACCTATAATCATCCAACCAAGATGAGTACGCACAGCAAACGGATACTTCCTGTCCCCCAAACGTTGTTCCAGGACCCAATGTGCATCCGGAGCATCACACCCAATCAATATTCCTACAAAATTACTTTGCAACTTTGGAAGGGTTATGTCCTTTAGATGTTTCCACCGTTTCAGTTGGAGTTCGGTTAAAGGTGCTGCATGATCGATCGGAAGTTTCTTGGTCGTGTAAACTTTGTTGATCCTTACAGAACCTTGTTCATCTAATGAAAACACCTCTAAATTTACCTCCAAGCATTCACAATTGGTAGTTCCGTTGACAGTCGCCACCCTTATCGAAGTCTCTTTACCTTTAATACCCAACTGATTAATTAATTCTTCACATACAAGAGAAGCGTCCGAACCACTATCTAGAAGTGCATATGTTTCCAAACATCCTTTGGGACCGTATAGTCTGACTGGAACGATCCCCAAACAAACCTTTGAAGAGTTCCAATCCTTAGCTAGGTTCACCACATGGTTATCAATACTATCAATATGCAATAATGAATTATGCTTAACCTTGCAATTCTCAACGTCACACTTGATGCCTGAGTTGCATGTCATAGCTATGTGACCCTTCCTCAGACATAAGTAACATAGACCACGTTTTCTTACCTCCTGCCTCCTTTCTTTTACATTCATTTTTGCTAACCTTGGACAATCTGTCGCCTCATGATCACCTACGCAGATTTCACAGCGTGATACCTTGACTGAGTTATTTGGGTCTCGTCTAATTGCATGAAAGCGTGATCTATCAGCTTGGCCTTCAGAATTCCTTTTACCGAACCTTGAGTTACACTGTACTAATCTACCATAACGGGTTCGGGCAATTCTGGCCCTCTCTTCTACAAAGACCACAAATTCTTCAAAGCTCGGCTCATTCCCATGCATCATGATATTATCGGCGACTTCCACCCACTTATTCTGCAATTCTATTGGTAGGCATGAAACTATTACCTCCAAATTAGCCGTAGAATTAACGTCAGACATATATCCCATTTGCTTCAACGTTATACATACATTACGCAACTTAATCGCAAAGTCAGTTAATACGTCAGCCGATCCTCCGACAGGTTTATGGTTTAATAACTCAATAATTAGTTCTCGTGCAACAAGATGTTCTTTACCAAATAAATCATACAAAATTCGCTTAGCCCTATCATAGCCCAAATGACTGGGCAAAGAAACGCAAGATTCAATTGCTGTTCTGGCCTTTCCCTTGCAATAATATAACAAATACGACAACAATTGGTCCTTATCTGACAATTTACATTCTATAAGGCTATTAAACTGACTAATAAAACGGTAATACTGACCCGGTTGCCCATCAAAGTACATCATATCGATCTTAGGTAAAACCATGTTACTAACCATTGTATGTAACGTGTCCTTCAGCTCACCGACCCAATCGACATTTGAGATGTTACATACCTCCCCTGAGTGATTATTACACCCAGTATCACAATCCAAATAATTTTCCACTTTAGCATTTATCCCACATTTATCTACGGGTAATCGTTCATCGTCCTCGATAGCCTTGCATTCTAGTTCAGCGATATCAACCTCTTCTTGTAGATCTAACATCTTAAGTTGCCGTTCTAATTCGAGTCTCTTCTCTAAATTCCTTTTCCTCAGTAATGCTTTATCTAATTTTAATCTAGAAGTACTTAGCTGGCTAGAGGACATACTATTAAGATTAACATCATCACATTTATCATCATTAACATCAGACATACCACAAACAGCTTTGGAAGTTTTACCATCCATTTCGTAATTTTCCTTCAGCCTTCTGCTCCGTGTTTCCATCGTTATCGTTGTTCCAAATAATCAATTACCAAAACAAATCCGAATTAATCCAAACGAAATCGACCAATAAGACCAGGAATTTGGACCCAAAATATCCAGAAAATTCAAGGTATGAACACAGAACCAATAATTGAAGAACTTTATGTTACGTCCAAGTTTTGCTCGTCCCAGTTATTGAAGTACGGACTATCGATCTACTCGCAAATTACGAACCCAAATTAACAACAGAACCAAGTCCCAATTTAGATACCAAATGTATTCGTAATTCACAAGTAATCGACCAAATGTCGTTCTAATAACAATAATTATAACAATTACAAAACAAACCTTCAATTTTGTAGGTTCCCGGAGCAAAACTCCCAAATACCAAACCAAAGACAAAGAGAGCACCAAAATACCAAACCAAAGACAAACCAAAATGTCCGAAGTAATGATATAAACAAACAAGTTCAGAAGTTAAGTAAAACAATTACATCCAAAAGCACAGTAAATTATTAATGTACAATAAAAGGTTTTAATCCGCCAAATGTCTTCAGTTCTCCCGTAACAAGCACAACACATCTGACTCTGGCTGTTTAAACTGAGGGTTGTTGAAGTGATCAATCAGGATTAAGCAAGTATTTCAGTACGATCTCAAACTTTACTTCAAGGTATTCTGGTAGCAGCCTCAGTCAACCTTTCGTCGTTAACAAACGCTGGGTGTTGGGTGTGTCGCGTCTAGAAATAAACGAAAAAATGCAGTTTGTACAGGCTCAAATGACTTAACTATGGTTAGTACTTTGTTTATAGTTTTTATCATATTATCATCTATTACTTTGAAAATGAATACAACTAGAGTTTACTTCCTATCCACTAACTAAAACAAATAGGCAGAATACAAAGATTATGACGTTTGATAATACCTTATGCTGATCATAAATATTTTCGTTATTAATTTGGTTGTGTTATGTTCTTTATTTTGAGTGAATTCACCATCAATTTTTTGAAAATAAATTTCTATAGATAATGCTGTGAAGAAGAGATTATCAAATTCTAGCTACACGTCCACTTTACCATCTATAATCTGTTGAAATAAAAATCTTATTCATGCTGTGAATGTGAGACTGTAATTAATAGAATGGGTGTAACTCAAGAACGGTAAATCGTATAATAATAGTCTGTGGGTCAAAATAAAGCTTATATTAGGAGGGACATAAATATGCATAGTTTAGTGACTTAACAATTTTACAATAAAAATAGATGGTATTAGTCTATAAATGAACCTCGACAGTTAGCATTCCTTATTCTCATCAGGATATATAACGAACAATTTAGCTTGCAAATATGAGAGAAAATTCACCAGTGACCCTCAACAATTCATAGCATATGATGCCAGAATCACATAGAAATCTGGTCAAAAAGCATTATGACGACCTTTTCAGCTACTTGATATTAAGTCAAAACACGATACAAGTAACTTTATTACCTGACTATTATTCATGAGACACGCTCAAAATGTACTGCTTTGGACGGTAAAACACATCTGTAATATTACTTAAAAAATATGTAAAGTTAGCTAACATTTAGATATTGTAAAACCTTCAGGCTTTTTATTTCGTTTTGCTTGTGTTCATGTAGTGTGTTTATATACATCACTTCAAACTATTTATGATTAAGTTCCTTTTTGACCTAGATTTAGCTGTTGATGCCTGTTAGCGCGAGGAAAAATGCTGTTTGCTGTTTTCTTTGCTTTGAGTAGTGAGTTCATAAATATTTTAAACTCTGTTAGTTATGCTTGAATCCGACAGCTGCATTGAGTTCGTATTTCCATGTGGCCAACCAAAAATATACATTGGATATCTATGGATTAACGCAACAGTTGTGCATGTAATTCCAAGAATTCAAGCAGCCCCTGACAAACCCAACGATAATTTTGGTATAATTTTATATCTTATTAACGTTTTAAGGAAACGTTTGTCGTTTCAAAGTACATAGTCCTGAAAGCTCGCCATTTTATGTGGAATTACTGGATCAAAAATATGGATTCGCTGAGTTGCGTGTCGATCCAAAAGTGTCATCTAATATCACAAAAATGTCATCATTCATTCTGGAAATAGAAGCGAGCGACTGTGATGAACATTCTCCTACAACTTCACGGTTTGTTTACGATATTTTTTAAATATTTCACTTTATTTTGGATTTTCTTATTGACACAAGTAATAGATTATGAGCTTCTTAAGCCTTTACAAATTATTGGCATGAGTTAAAATAATAGTTTGCCGTCAGGTATCAACTTTATTTGTTTAAACCAACCTTACAACCTTACTCTGCAAATTATAACATATCTAGCCTAATTTTCAAATCTTTCCGTGTCTATCCATGTTTTCAGTCAGGTTACATGACAAAAGTGCTGTCAAAGTGCACAAAATCCGCTACTTTGTCTTGAAAATGGTATGAATGATGATTAAAGTCATGCGTTTGAGTGCATTTGTTCATGATAAAAGAATGTTCCTAAGTGAATATAAAATTTATTCTTGGTTTCTACATTTGTATTTCTTGCGGAAACGAGTTCTTAGCTTTCTGTTGTATGCACTTAATATTGGGCTAAAATAACTTAGCATCTAGGGAAAAAGTAAGTCAACATAACGATCATTCATCATTGTTCGGAACTGATAGTCTTGAATAGTTAATAAAGCTCACGTCTAAATGAGAGGTAGGATAATTTATAGGCAAAATAACAAAACTTAATGACATAGGCAACATTCAAGTAATCTTTTTACTCGCTTGGCAATTTAGGAGCGCTGAAATTTATAATTCATGGGTTTAGAAGTTCATATATGTTGCTGAATTATTATGGACAATCTTAAAATTCACTTTTACGTGTTACATTAAAATTTAAGTACTGATAATGCCGATCACTATCAACATAACAGACCTTTTAATCCAATAGGTGACCCTTATATTTAGTTTTCAAGGCTTTAAAGACCACCATTTTTCAAAAAAACGTAATTGCGTTTACATCGGTAGTGATTTTACGACTGAAATCCTGTTGGATCAAGTTCTCAAACCTGTCATATCTGTTAATTATCACTTCGGCAGTCTGTTGAAAACAAATTCTTACCCGTTTGAAAGTTATGCACCTTTTTTTAATTTATCCTAGAATTTACACCCGACCCAAAAAATTATATATTTATATTTTCTTTCTTATGGGTCATGTTTGAGAAACCTTATGCTGTGAAAATTGACTTTAAATAGTGATGCCATGCTATTGAGTTATGGTAAACAGCTTGCTGTTCAAAATGTTTTCCAAGCGGTTGACGTAGGCTACTGAAAGATTTAAATCAACTTTTCAAAATTGTTAAATTATCTTCATCTTTATTATTATTGTTCCATCAATAAAAGCTCTTAAAATTTTCACAGCTACTAGTAGTCTATGAAGATCCTCGATTGCCTTAGTCAAAGTTTTAGATTGTTCAATTAATGTTCGTGGTTATTAATTGATTAAACGCCACAGGCTCTTGACATTCCATAACTAACCAAGACTATTAGAAGAAATCTCAACAGACACTACCTTAAACATGAAAATAGTGCTGCTAAATATTGCTTTTCTAACCTCTTGTAAATATACTAACTACCTTTCAATGTACTTTTGAATCCTATGATAATAAAGATACAGAAGAGACACTATTCACTTATGCAAAACGTTATGCCGCAAGCTTTTAACACTTTTGAGATCAGATGGCTTCTACCTACGTTTAATACCAAACGTTTTCTGAATATAAAACAAGCCTCTAGGCTCGATGTAACTTCATGATAACTGCATATGTGTTAAATGATTAACTTAGGTCAAAGCCAGCAATATGTAGTTTTCTCAACACGCTTCTAGGTGTAATGAACTAATTTTTAGCACGCTTGATGAAAGTACCACATATTTTGAGCCTAACGTCATACACGTCTTTGTAATCACGAATCGATTTTAGCAAGACCACCTATAAAACCCAAAAGCATTGGACGGTCATGTTGTCCAATTATAGGGCCCTTCAGCATACCATATCCACGATTCTGCGCTCAGAAATCAATCTCTGGGTTTTTGATCTTGTGTGCGAATGCTTAACCTCTAGACAACTGGGCTGGCACATAACAGCATTCATGTCTAGTTTCAATCAATCCACGAGATTGAGCAACCCTTCGTTCATTGCCTGTAGTGGATAGCTGTCTCACACCCGAGAAGGATTAAACTCCACTGATCATGGATTTTTATTCAAACTTCAAGAGTTACCTATCGACGTTAGTAACTAGCAAGTGCCTGACTGTTAGTGGTATAGGGGTTTATGGAGATAGTAGAATTTCCACGTTTCACGTCACTACTTAGAAGTCCCATACTAGGACGAGATGATCGCCCAGTGCTTCCGGCTTTTCAACGGTGGTCTGCCTAAAGTCACCGCCTCATTTCAACGGTGAAAATATCACAGTCTTGATAAATCCCCTAAAATCAACACGTCATCTAGTGATGAAGATTGTGACTTAATAGGGCTTAACGAAAAAAAACATTTTCACTTCTTTTTCACTGAGTACCGGAGTTTTTTTGCAACTTCACATAAACTAACAATGCAAGATCGTTCTGCTCATAACATTCAGTATCACAGTAAGGGACATTAAGCATCTCACTGTTAAGCACTTTTGTATCTGCAAGTGACAATGAGTATTGTACGATTTTAAAAAAATGTAATATTTTCGCTGGGCTTTTTACAACTTTCAGTCAGGAAAAATACACTTATCTAATCAAAAATAAGCAATCAAGGTTTTTAAATCAAAGATGATTAACAAAGAGATAAAGTGTCCTATCTCACAAATGTTTTGTAAGCTATTTAAATTTGGCTCAGGAGTAGTATAATAAATAATATTTATCAATAAATTTACAGTTCAATCCCAATTCTCACGTTAACTTAAATAACTGATAGTTGACTAAATACCCCAATTAATTGATTGAACAAACATAAGTTAAAACTTGATGCTTAATATTTGCGTGCATTGGTCTAACAATGTGCTCAAGTTTTCAAAATACATGGTTATATAACGACATGGCTTTATCTGTTATTCAAAATCAAGTTTCTCGTTTGTATGTTCGGTTATATCTGTATTACTTTGGGAGAGTTTATGTAACGTAATAATATACGTGTCTGAGTTTGCTTATTTATATAGCATACTTATAATATTTCCGTAATTTTTCTGATATCCTTGTTCAGTATTAAAAAGAAAAATAAATTTTGTTTGTGGCTTCGGTAGATTAATGGCTTACGCCTAAATAGGTAGTTTTTGCAAGAGCTTACCATCAATTTGAGAAAGATTAAATGTCATCTAAATGCAGTTAATGTCTTAGGTATAAACCTACATTTCTGGGCTATTTGCACCTTTAATCTTTCCTAGGATGAAACCAAGACTTACTCATTTCTATAACCAGCATGAAATCGTTATGTCATCACGTTCAAGTGAATCCATTGACATTTTATAGCTCAGCAATCTGGCGTTAAAACACTTTTTCATGATGAGAAAATCTTCTATTACAATTAATACTGTCAATACAATATTCCTCTCTGGCTTGTTCCTAAAGACTACTGCTTAAACATAAACTTAACATTGTAAAGGATACATTTACATATTTGGATGAAGTGTTGAGAGAAATAATGAGACACTTAAGTTCTGTTATTACACTATTTTAAAATTATGTATAATCTACGTCTTCTATAAACCTACCCACTAAAGTTTTGTATACTATCACGGATATATTCAACTGATTATTTAAGGTCATCTATCTATTCAAAAGATATCATTATGTATTTCGCCTCATTGTAAGTGTACCACTCACATTAAAATTGTAGTTTTGAAATAATTCATTATTTAAAAAAAATGATATTTTACATCCCAGCAAACAACAGTTACGAATTGGCGGAAGTATTTTTACTCATGCTCTAAATATTTCGTTAATGTAACGAAATGACGTTAGGTAAGAAGTTACTCTGTTAAACAATAAACGCTAGTGTATTCATTAAAAATCTTCATAATGAAAGTATGATAGTACAAGTTGTTTTTCTCGTAAACGTAATGGGTAGATTTGTAGTTGAGTATGATTTTTCAACCAGAATTAGATGTAAATTATCTAAATACCATTTAGTTAATCAGTTTACTTGTTCCAAGGCGGTTATTTTTCATAAATTGATGTCAACTAAAATAATATTGGAAAACTAAGAAAATTTGAGTGGATTTATTTCTTTTTATTTAAAAACGTTTTTGATACACACCAACGATGCCACGTAAATTCAAGTCAGTGTTCAGTATTTAGTTTCAGTTTATCACTGCCATTAAGGAATCAGATAAAAACTGTATATATACTTTCTGTCGATGTGTTCATACGTATTCAAAGTATACAACAGTTTACTTACTTGAATTAACTCACATACAACATCTATCTTCAATCAAGACGCATATGCTTCCAATTTTAAGCAGTTGATTTGCAAGTTGCGTCTAAAACTTATTATTAGTTGTCTCTAAGTAAATAACGATAAGTAAAATGACTTTCGACCTCCAGTTTGCTTTTTTCCCTGAACCTTGATGATTTCAATTGTCACGTTGAATGAGGATTCAACACAGAGGTTGTACAGTTGTTATTTTATAAAATTACGCCGACTTATTTATGTTAATTAAGTGAATTTCAAGGGTTGTTTGCTTTTCTAAAACCCTTTCGGGCACTTTTAAGCATACGTACATAATAAAGAGAAGTGAGCTGTTTTTTGCTCGGAGGTATTCGTTAAAAAAACTCTGAACATTTTCTGTACTGGTTGAAATACATCAACAAGGCAAACTTGTAGTCTTAAGGGGGTTGATGCTTGTTGTCAAATTCAAACCATTACCACGCAGCTCTACTGTAAGTGAAGTTACCGTCGAGCTATTCAGTGATCAATTGACCTGAATATCCGAATCATCATCTTACTTGCCACATGACCTGTTTACCAATTACATTATATATATATATATATATATATATATATATATATATATATATATATATCGTAATTCATTAATATTTAGGTTATAATCCTAGTTTAATAATAATTTATTCTCCGGACAAGAGTCACTCATTTTGCAGTCAGTTTATTCTG